GAGCAAGACCTTGCACTTATCCACATTGAACGCCATCCTGTTGTCTCCTGCCCACTTCCATAGTCTGTCCAGATCCTTTTGGATCTGGAGTACCTGCTCCTCAGTTGCAGCCACTGCTCCAGTTTTAGTGTCGTCTGCGAATTTGATTAGCAGACTGTTCACCCCTTCTTCCACGTCATTGATGAAAGGATTAAACAGAATCGGCCCCAGGACAGAGCCCTGGGGGATCCCGCTTGTCACTGGCCACCATCCCGATGATTCCCCACTAATGGTTACCCTCTGTTTTCGGTCAGTCAACCATGCCCTAATCCACCGGACAGTGCTTTGGTGTATCCCAAAACTCCTCAGTTTCTCCACCAGGATATCATGGGGCACTTTGTCAAAGGCCTTGCTGAAATCTAGGTAAACCGCATTTATTTATTATTTATTTATTTAGAAGGCTTCTATGCCACCGCATTCGCCAAACCCTCGGGGCGGCTCACAATAATAAATAAATAAGGACAGAATAAAACAATATAATATGAGTCAACCTGGCCCGAAAAATAAAATAAATAATATTAACACTTAAAATAGCGTTTGAATAAAAAGGTCTTCGCCTGGTGCCGAAAAACAAATAACGATGGCGCCAGGCGGACCTCTCTGGGGAGCGCATTCCATAGATTGGGCGCCACCGCAGAGAAAGCCCTCCTCCGAGTACCTACCCTCCTAATATCCTTCACGGAGTGTTCCCGGAGAAGAGCCTCTCCTGCTGATCTCAAGGGGCGGGTGGGCATATATGGACGTAAGCGCTCCTTCAGGTAACCAGGACCCAAGCCGTTTAAGGCTTTATAGGTCATAACCAACACCTTGAATTGATGCACATCCACTGCATCCCCTCCATCTAGCCATCTCGAAACCTTGTCGTAGAAAAAAAGATCATGCACAGAGTGATTTGTTGGACCCAAACTAAAAACCGCTTCCTAGAAACCTCCTCCTGAGCAACTATGTGCCCAGCCCTCTGGGAGGGCCCTTCTCTCCTGATGCGGCATGGGGTCAAGGCCCCTTTGGCTCCTGGGATCCCAGTCTGTGCCCCCACCCCCCTGGCAGTTGCAGGCTCTGGCTCTTCCCAGGGTCTGCCTGAACACCTGGAGAGGCGGCCGTGAGAGCAGCCCCTCCACCTCTTCCACCTCGATGTCTGGAGGCAGTGGTTCCCAGGCCCATCCTCCCCACCTGGAGACTCCCCCCAGGCCTGACACATGTGCCAAGAGGGACTGCAGACCCTTTTTCCTCCCCAGCAGACTGGGCATCGCATCCCGGCCTTGTTTGCTGTGGACGGAATTTGGGGCTGCTTCCGGAGGCTCTGCTAGACGGGCTCCCGTGGGGCTTTTCCTCTGGAGTGGCTTTTCTTGGGCCGCTCTGTGTGGGGAGCTCCTTTGTCTTGCGGGGTCCCTGGTTGCCTCGTTCCTTGTTGCATGTGAGAGTCGGCTTTGCACGCCCTTGACTGTCCTTGCTGGGCCCTGAAGACCAAACTCCATTTTGACAGGGGTTGGGGGGGCTGCATTCCCACAGTGGGGGGGGGGGGCAAAGACAGAAAAGGTGGGGCCGCAGGAATGGAAGCGCCCGCCTGTTGGGTTGCATGCTCTCGCTGCCAGGACTCGGCCTCGATGTGGAGATTCGGAAGAGCTGGAGATGCACCAAGCGTTGGGAGCCCGGGGGAGGGAAGGTGGCCCCCTGGGGGCCTTGCGTGTTCCGCAGGCCCGTGTCCAGGGCCCCTGCTGCCCAGGTGTGGCGTCACAGGCAGCGAGTCCTAGTCCTCCTTTCACCAGGGCAGGATTCAGGAGGGCCCCGGAACGGCCGAGCCCGGCCTGGTCCCAGCGGTTTTCCGCACTGCCCAGCTGCGAGCGGCCCCCGCTCTGCCCCCTTCCCGGGTGCGGAGCCTATTTATCGCTGTCAATGCTGCTGACTCACCACCCTGTTCCGAGCAGCCGGCTGCTGCGGGAACCAGAGCCAGGAGAACGCCGTGTTCTCTCTGCACAGAGAGGGAATTTATTTTCCTCCTCCTCTTAAAAAAAAAAGAAGTTGACGACCGACGTTATTAAACTTTGTAAACTGACAGTTATGTAATGGATTTCCCAGCAGGACAGAGACGAGTTGTGCTGCCCGTCGGAATGCGCACTGGCATACCTTGGGGGCCGGCGTCTAGGTGGCAATGTGGCAGCGGGGGACGGCAACGGGCGCCGTTCTGCCTGGCCTGGGCGTCTTTTGGACTCGGGCAGAAAGACTTAGGCCGTGTAAGCAGGGCCGCTTCCTGCCGGTGCTGTGCTTGTGCCAATCAGCTTATCAGCATATTTGAAGCTTTGCAGTCAAAACGTGAAGCGCAAGTTCTCTGCCCTGCTGACCTTCCATCTAGACATGGACACGTCCTTCCCCACAGGGGCTGGCCTGCAGCTTCGATCATCCCCAGGCATGGGAGTTGCCTGGAGTGGGCGCCCTCCCTTGAGAGCCATGCCAGCCGCTGAGGTCAGCATGAGTCACTGCTCGCTTGGTGTCCACGTGTTCCCGAGCTGTCCTCTCATTCCCTGCCCCAGAGGTGCGGCGGACGCCTTCGCCTTTCGCTGCGGGAAGCGCTCCATGGATCGTGGCAAGCCCTCCGCAACAGGGGTCCTACTCTAGGGTCCAGCCAGCTGTGCTCAGCCCCTGCAGCGGGCACTCTGCATGCCATAACTGTGGAACATGTGCTATTTTCCGTGATGGACAGATCTGTCCAGTTCACTCCTGCTCAGCCTCTCTCTCTCTGACATTCAGCTCATTCCACCCTGTTTCACACCACTTTGCACACTTCAAAGCAAATGTATTATTTTTATTTGCATTTTTCTGAGCGTGTCGAATTTTCCCAAGTGTTTCGCACCTCATGTGATGCAGCCTCGTGTCCAGACTGTGCTCCTTTCCCCTATTCTATGCATCTCCGAAGCCACAAATCGCACCCCGAAACTTGGACTGTGCAAATGATCTCTGTGCATCAGTTGTGTGCACAAATGGATCCGTTTGCATTCAAATGTGAACCCAACACATTCCTAGCCTGCTTCTTGGACCGGGTTATAAGCGATGGCTTGTGTTTTTGTAACGTTCCGGAGTCCCCCAAGCGAGCTCTCCCTTGTGTCTCATCGGCTCTGATCAGCTCTGCTTGTGTCAGCGCTCCCCAGTCTTGCTCACTAGTGAAGGGACCCGGGCTTTGGGAGTAAGAAAAAGTGGCAGCCTAGGAGGTGGGTCGGGCCTGTGGGGGGTCAGGATCCACCCGAACAGCCTCCCACACAAGCTCAGCCGAACTCAGGGCAGCAAGTCCCCTTCTTAGAACCTTCCCAGCATTCCCCACATTTCCTGGGCTTCGATTGAGAACAAGTAGTACCAGAAAGTTTCTTGAGCATTAATGAAAGAGTATTAATGACTCTTTTACTTCTGTGCAGCCCGATGGCCGAAGCATTCTGTTGTGTCACAGCAATTTCCCAAAAATTAAAAAAGATACAATGCAGATAGAGTACATACAATATAAGATTCCAGGATACAAATATAAAAAGGTTTAAAATTCCAATATTAAAAATGTTACAGCAGTTTAAACATCTAAAATCATTGTAATAAAACTAGAGTTGATTAAAGTAACTGATACAATCCATCAAATGAGAATAGCGGGCAGTTCTGACTCGGTACAATGTTGGTGCCAGGCGGGTGTCAGTGGGGAGACACGCCAAAGATCTTCAGGCTTTCATGCCAACTGTTCATTTCATTTCTTGTCTACTTAATTTTGCATTCTAGTAAAAGTTGCCTTCTGATGGGGCGACAGTAAGGTGCAGTGGTTAGCATGCTGGACTGGGACTCGGGAGATCTGGATTCTGATCCCCTCAACCAGGAAGCGCACTGGGTGACTTTGGACCACTCACCGACTCTCAGTCATGCCTACCTCGCAGGCACATTGTTGTGGGGATCAAAGGGGAGGAGGAAAACCAGTGTGGCGTAGTGGTTAAAAGCGCGGGACTGGGACTCAGAGGATCCGGGTTCGAGTCCCCGCTCGGCCGTGGAGCCAACTGGGTGACTTTGGGCCAGTCACAGCCTCTCAGCCCAACCTACCTCACAGGGTTGTTGTTGTGGGGATAAGATGGAGGAGGAGAGAAGATGTAAGCTGCCTTGAGCCCTTTGTAGGAAAAAGGCAGGATATAAATTGCCATATATATATATACACACACACACACCTTGTGAGCCATGCTGAGCGGGAGGGGAGCAAGGCCTAGCGGATTCAGCAGGGTCCCGATAGCCCTGGAGCAGCCAGTAGCTGTTTCTTTTTCTGTAAATCCATGGATCCCCCTATAAATCAGTCATAGGGACATTTCTAGGCTTCCCAACAGCCAAAATCCTCTGGGTGGTTCATGACCATTTGAAAAGATAAACTACTTTCTATAAATGTAAATGCTTAAAACAACAGTATAAAATAGAATTAAAAGCCAAAGGTAATCTATTGGCAATACTGAGATTCAAAACGGAGTAAAGGATTCTGATTGAAAAGATTTAAGGCTCCATAAAGGATTGCTTATTTATTAGATCTATTTTTCTTTTTTCTCAAGTTTGTGTGTGAAAGCCAGGCAGTGAAGAAAGCTGACAGGAAGAAAATGGATGCATGTGAAACATGGAGCTGGAGGATTGCTTTGCAAATACCCTGGCCTGACAGAAAGACGAGCAAGGGGCTCCTAGACTGAGTCAAGCTGGGACTTGTCCTGGAAGCAGAAAGGGGGGAACAGAGGCTGCTGTGCTTCGGGTGCATCACGGGAAGGCCAGACTCTCTAGGGAAGGCAATCGCGTGAGGGGAAGCCAAGGCAGAATGTCAGGCAGGAGACGGATCCAGTCCCGTCAAGGAAGGCACTGCCCGGCGTTGACGAGGCCCGAGCGTGGCTGCCGAGGCTGGGATGGCTTGGGGGATGCTCATTCATAGCGTTGCCCCAGGTTGGAGGCGAGTTCATGGCACGCGGCAAAGGATGCCGCTGCCCTACCTTGCAGGGCTCTGGGACGCAGTTCTGAGGCAAGGTGCGGGAACGTTCTCGGCCTCCCCGCTTTGGTCTGCGTTGCGCAAGTGGTTCGGGACTGCAGGTGAGGCACAGCAGATGACTCATCCTAAAATCAGCTGCACACCTGAGCCGCCGGACTTGGCGTGAAGCGTCTCAAGCAGGACCACATTCGGAGTGAATTTCCGTCCTGCATTCACGGCCCGCTGGCAGGACCCAGTTCTCCCTGCTCCGTGTGTTTGCCTTGCAGGGGGGGTGTGCTTGAAACTGGCATTGTTCCAGTGCCCGGGCAACTGGGCATGTTCCCGATCCCATGGATGGACACGAGCCTCCTTCCACACCCCAGCCGTATGCAAGGCATGGATCAGTGGGGCAAGGGTGAGCTGATTATGGGGAGGCAGAACTGCCACAGGCATCAGTATTGCAGAGGCTGTGGGAAGGCAGGCCAGCAGGTTAGGGGCAGAGAGGACAGAACCAGTGGGTAGCATGGCATGCTAGCATTTGCCTCGATGGGTCAAAAAGGGTGGGGCCACAGTGGTTCAGTCCCGGCCTCACACAAGGCTCCGGAAGCTCCTAAATGGGTCAGTAGGCCAGACCTCTTCCGCTCCCATTTCCCTCCAGCTGCTAACCTACAAAGGTAGACCACACCTGCACACTGAAGCTCTGCACCCAGAAGTCACAGGCAGCCTCGTTCCCGGAGTGGATCCAAGCCCTTTCCACAGCCCTTGGCAGCAAGTGCCACACATGAAATGAAAAACCAGTGTCTGCTTTTTGCCCCCTCCCCCCCTTCTTCCCAGTATTTTGTGTCTTATTTATTAATTAAATTCCTACTGTCTTTGCCTTGTGTCCTATGGATTGTAAATTTCAAAGCAGGGACTGTCATCGTCCTAATCTTTGCGAACCACGGGGCAGGCTTGTTCAGCTAAAAACTGCTGCGGTGGGAGTTGGAGGACCCGGATCCTGGCCCTGGCCCTGGCCCTGGCCCTTCCTCCTACATCCTAGGGATGCCCGACTCCCCTTCCCCGAGCTACGTGGCTTTGCATCTCCCCTCCAAGGAGTCCTTAAACCTTCCGGTCTCTGCCTCGCGCAGGATCATCCACCTGCCCCTCCACCCCATCCTGAATTCCCCAACATGCGAAGACCTCAATGCCACCCGGCTGATGCTCACCTCCCGCGGGCTGCCTGTCTCCTTCCTCGGGGCACCCTTAGGTCTGTGGCCCACTGATTGCCCCCGCCTCACCCCACCAAGGTCCCCGCACCCCATCCTGAAGCAGCAGCCCCTCCCTGAACCTACGGCCGGAGGTTGCCCCACTGATGACGTAACTGCCCCGTCCCATATCGCCTGGCCGATCTGCCTTCTTTCCCTTTCCGCGCTCGCAGGTCCCTGACCCGCCTAGCTTCCATTGCCAGCGCCGAGCTGCTCTGCCGGCCCCTCCTCCCCCCGCACACGCATTCACACGCACGCCGCGGCCACGTGCGGGCGCGCAGGCCGGAGACACGGGGCGGGCCGGCCTCTCCCGTGCGGACCACGTGCAGCAGCCTGCGCCTCGCCCCGCCCCGCCCGGCTAATGGGCGCGCGCGGCGGCTACGATTGGGCGGAGACGGGCCAATGGCGGCGCTCGGGGGGCCGAGCGGGCGCGGCGGGCCTCCGGCGCGGGGGCGTGGCCCGGAGCACGTGCGGCGCCGCACGTGGCCGCGTGGCGCCCGCCCTGAGCCCGCCGGTCCAGCCGCCGACTAGGCGCTGTGCCGGTCCAGCCGCCGCTCAGAGGCGCCGAGCGGAGCTGCGGAGCGGAGCGGTCGAAGGCAGCTGCCGGCAGAGGAGCTCCGATTCCGCCCTCCTGCTCTACTACTAGCAGCAAGCGCCACCCGCTTCCAGACCTCTGCAGCTTTGAAGCACCGGAGGAGTTCCCGCGCCGCGGACGAGTGTGCCTCTGGGCGCGTGCAGAGGGCGTCCCCCGACCGACCGGCCGACCGACCGACCGACGTTGTTTGCGGAGAGTCCCGAGGTAAAAAGAGTTCGGCGCCTCTTCCCTTTTCCCCTGTAAAGGAGTTTTCCGCCGGCCACCTCCTGCGTGTGGATGCGGGGGATCCCTGCCTGGGGCGGGGCAGTTCTGTATGGCCTTTCGCTGAGGCGATGGAGAAATTGCCTTGCTGCTCTTAACGCTGTTGGTGCGGTGTTGGTGCAGGTGCGTGTAGCTCTGAGGGTGTGCAGAGTACCAGCAAGCGCTTGGGGCGGGAGCGACTCGGGGTTTGGGGGGGGGGGGGGGGGGATCTTTCAAACCCAGATCTATACAAGTCGAGTTGCTTTTGCAGCTTCTGGTTCCCTCTTGGGCTGGGAGGGGTTGCTGTGTAAATGATTGGTAGAGTGAAGAATAATTTACAGTGTGATCCTATGCATGGTTAAACAAGCTAGAGACATACAACTCCCGGTATCCCCCCTGCGGCGTGGCTGCCTGGGGAGTGCTGGCACCTGTCGGACCTTTGTTTGTCTAAACTTGTGTTGCATCGCACGCTAAACCATTTTCCCCCGCCGCCCTTTGTTAAGCTGATTGAGACTGCAATCCTATGCCTACTTACCTGGGTGTAAACGCAGTTTAAAAATGGGGCGGTTTCGTTCCGATGGAGTTTTGGCTTGTCTTGGGGAACATCTTTCATCTGCCTATCTCATCTGTTTATATTTGTAACCTTTTCTAGTTAATATGTTCATTGGTTTGTCGTTTTTAATTGCAAGGTGTGGAAAGAAAGGAATGCAATTTGGCTGTCCTTGCAGCCTGGGTTTAATTACAAAAAAATTACCTTTGGGGACTTTTTGCAAATATATGGATAGGTAGAATAAGGATCACGTTCCTTATTATGAGGCTGTCTGTAAATAGATGTTTTATTGTATTTTCGTAAATGTATGAACTTGGCTAGTAAAATGACTGAGCCAGTCAGACGGACTTTTCAGGCTGCCATTAGGTGAGCATAGCTGCCTTAAGTGCAGAAGCATGAAACCTGACAGGTACGATTTAATGCGCTAACCCCTTCTCATATTTGAACGTGACACTTAAAAAGCATCAGCAGGCGCAGCTCACTTCTGGTCACGAGCCCCCAAAACTTAAGCACAGTGCCGTTTGTGGCGAGTGCAGTTCTCTCTGTGCTTACTCAGGAGCAAGTCGGGAAGTGACCTCCAGGAAAGCCAGCCTGGGATTGCAGTCCATGAGGGCTGTTTGCACCTTCTAGAGTGTGCAGTTGTCCCTGGCAGGGAAGGAGGGACAGATAACTTTTCGCCAGATGCAGAGGAGTTGGCTGGATGCTTGTGGAGAAGTGTGATGCATGTGACCCACGCAGGGACCTGCCTGTGCACAGGCAAGCTTGTTAAATCTTAAATAAATCTTGTTAAATCTTGTTAAAGCTTTTTATGGACTAGTAACTTTGTGGAGTTGTTTGCCCTGCTGGCTGCTAACTCAGCGGTAGCTCCAGGAAAAGTACTAATCTTGGGCATAGTTTACAAGGGGAGCACCCTGTTCTTCTGTAGTCATTTGCTTACTGCTCATTCAAAGTGTGGGTGTGGGGGGAGCAAAACCAAAAGAATAAAGGCTTTAAAATACTGTTTCAGATAGGTAACTGATCTTTGAAATTCACTGCCAGTAGATGTGGTATTGCCCATTAAGCCAGATGGATCCACTTCCTGGAGGAGGCAAAAAGGAGTTGATAGAACTTCCATGTTCAGGAGCAGTCTACTCCCAAATGTCAGTGGAAATGGAAAGCTATTGCTCCCTGTAGGCATTGGGTCGGCCACTGTAGGAGACAGGTGTGGTTTTCCTCTGGTCTGATCTAGCAAGGCTTGGCTCATCCTTTTCTGGAAAGTTCTGCTCTGTGGCAACTTGACTTTTTAAATAGTAAGGTAGGTTAGGTGAAAATCCAGTGGCAGAATGGAAGTGCTGCTCGTTCAGCTTACACTGAACCTTGTGTGTGCTTACTTGGGAGTAAACCCTATTTAACCCACGAGGGACTGCTTTCAAGTAAGTCTGTATAGGATTTCTCTTCTGATTTGAGCTCTGTTACAAATCTTCTGAAACTCAAATACTTTGGCCACCTAATGAGAAGGAAGGACTCCCGGGAGAAGACCCTGATGCTGGGAACAATTGATGGGAGAAGAAGAAGGGGTTGGCAGAGGATGAGGGGGCTGGATGGGGTCACTGGGGAGGTGGGTGTTGGGTTGGGTGGACTCCGGGGGATGGTGGAGGACAGGAGACCCTGGAGGAATGCTGTCCCTGGGGGTCCGATGGGTCAGACACGACTTAGCGATTAAACGCAACAAGAACTGAGAAGGCTCTTGCTCCCACTCTTGCTCTTAGTCAGCACCACGAAATTTCTGATTAAAATTGGGCTGTTGATCTTCCAGCCGCCTGCAAGAGCTCTTGGAGGACAAAGACGCAAAGCACAGTTCAGACCTTTTTTCGTTGGCTCGTGAGCCCTGCGGTGTCTCACGCGCGGATCTTCTAAAGTGTCTCTCTTGCACGGCATGTTCCCTTCCCACTGTCCTGCTGTAGGTGGTCGCCAGATTGGTTTGTTGCTGTAGACAGAACAGAGACTCGCATAGTGCCTTAAAGACTTAAACAAATTCTTTATTAAGAATCTTGCCACCTTGGGCTTGAACTGCATTTGCAAGTTCCCAGCTGCAACTGGGGAAGGAAGCCAGTGGGGCGGACTGAGGGGCAGCTCCTTGCTTCCTCATATTTTCTTCTTCCTTGGCCTGGGACTTGGCAGCTCCGCTTCTGAGCGTCATCCTTGGGCAAGAGAGGGTTAACAGCCCCCCCCATGCATCAGTGAATGGACCTGAGGTGCTGAATGGTGGGAGGCTGACCCGGAAGCAGGAGAGGGACGCCAAGGGGCCGTGCTGCTGTGGGGGGGGCTCCCCCCCCCGGCGGTTGAGTATGGCGCATGCCAGGTCACGTGTCTCATGTGCAAACAAAGGGGGCAGCAGGTGGATGCTCGCTCTGGGCCTGGATGTGTGCGCAGAAGCATCTGTTTCAGTGCCACGGCATCGTTAGCAGTGGGTGGGTCCTGCGGAGATGGTGTAAGGCAGGGGGAGCAGGTGGACGGGCGGCGCGGCGGCTCCGCGCATATCTGTCGTGCGCGTGCATGGCCGATGAATGACGCCGTGTGACTGGCTGTCCTGTGCGTGGGTCACATGTGGAGTGCTTTCGCCAGCAGACGCGCAGGCACCGACGACAGACCCGTGTGCGCAGCGCTGCCAGGCGCACGGGCGGATTGGCCGAGCGCGCGGCGCTGGGGTGCGTCCGCGCAGGCTCGCCACATACCGTGCCCCACCCTCTCCGAGCTGGAGCCCTGCAGAGGCTTGGGACTTCAACGCCCATCAGCCCCAGCTAGCTAGGGCGATGGGTGGGGATGCTGAAAGGTGTCTTCTGAAGCATTTAGAGGAGATTGTAGGGGTGCCGCTCTAATTGTTGGGGGGGGGTGCAGGAAGGACATGCATCTGAAGGACACGGTTTCCCTCATTCCTCAACCCCCAGTGGTGACCATATAACAGGAAAAATCCCCCTTCAGGTCTATCCACAGCACAATCCTGCCCTTTATGCGACCCACCCTACATCTTTCGGTACTGAAATGACCTAGATACCAGGGCTGGAGTGTGCCTGTGATGGAGCACGCAGGAGAACTCTGTTCTTCGCAGGCGGACTGCGTCTGCAGCTTGACCCATGGGGTCTGGCACTCCCGAGCAGGAATGCCGTCCAGGAAGGGCAGCAGATTCCGGCTCCGAACACCTGGATGGGGCGTGATTGCTTTGACGCAAGCTCGTTCTGCCAGTGGGCACGGCTGAGCCGAGTGCGCACACGGTGCTTATTAGCGGGGTGTCTCTGCCGACGCAGCCTCTGGGGGAACATGCCCAGCCGCCTGACAGAAAGGTGTAGCCAGGTTGTGAAAGGAAGGCGGCCGAGCCCTGGAGAGCTGGGCATCTCTCCCCATCCCTCCCTCCCTCCCTCCCGTGGCCAGATTCTCATGATCTGGCTGCTGCGGCAGGGGCACCGTTGGACTGCCCCAGAGTCCTCCTCCTGGCAGGAAGGAAGAGCATCTGAAACGGGCCATGTGTGTTTGTGCCTTTCCCCCCTTGCTTGCTCTGCAGATCGGCAGAATCGCAGCCCTTGGCTCTGCGTTTTGTGGATGTGCTGCGTCAGGCCAGGCTGGAGGGGGCCACACTGTCCTGGGTGACCTACGTCTGGGCACTGGGAGGCAGTTGAGAAAAGGGGGGCCGGTTCTCCAGGCAAGAGGTGGCCTGCAGGGGTCCACTGCTGAGTCAAGATTTGGGTTTTTATGGGCTAATCGTGAGGGTGTCCTGCAAAATTCTTTGTTGCCTTTATGCCAGCGGATGAGTGAGGGTCAAGCTGTGGGTGTCTGTGCCTCCCCCCCCATAGGTTGGGCAGCAGCGCCAGCCATTCTGTGCCAGCCTTTTGGGAGCCGTGCCCGTCGGATGTGTGGGACTCCCAGGGCCAAGAAGGCTTGTCTGTGCCAACGAGATATTAGGGTGCAGAAATTGCTCTTCAGAGAAGTGCAGTGCTTGGTTTCTTTTAAAGCCAAGCTTCTAGTTCCCACAGAGGAGGAGGTTTCACTGCATGAGCCGGTTTAAGGCAGACCTTCAGCTTGAAAATGGCCAGGGCAGCTCAGAAGAACAAAACAGAGTAACAAAACCCGAAAGGTGGTGCTGATGCTGGTCACGTTTGCTGAGTACTGGCTTTATTCTTTTCTCATGGAATCCACCCCTGGAATTTTCTTTTATTAAGCCAGCTAAAAATAGAAGGAAACAAGTAGTCAGTAATAAAAACCCAACATTAAAATTGACAGGGTGCTTCAGAATGCTTGAAACAACTGCAGAAACCAGATTAACAAAATACGGAGATGAGAGAACCTGAGGAGGGGGAACAAAAAAAGGGGGGGGGGGGGCAGGAAAATTCAGGGCAGAAAACCTTTTTCTGTACCCCCTCCGAACTTTTTAAAGGTTTGGGGTGGGTGAGAGACTTTTCCTGAATCTTTCTGTAGCAAAACAAAACCAGGAGATTTGCATATTACGGGCTGCTGGATTTGGATTTCCTGGCCATTCTGTTTGGGGTGTGGGGGGAGGGATTTGGGACCTCTCAGAGGGATCTGTGCTGTGACGGATACATGCATGCTGCGTGCTTGGACCTTGGTCAAAGGTGTGCCTTAAAGCAGCTTCTCCCTCATGCTCTTCTCTCGCCAGACCGTCCACTGCCAGTTATGGAGAACGCCATGAGTGTCTCCTCCCGCCAGTCCCTGTATTCGGCGGAGAGCGCCACCAGCGAGGAAGAGGAGGAGGAGCACGAGCTTGAGGTCTTCCTTTTGGACAGTGGGAGTGACGTGGAGAAGGAGACGGGCCCCGTGCAGCACCAGCGAGACGCGTACTCAGATCGGCAGGCGCTTCTCTTCTCACCGGGATCAGGACGGACTAGCCCTGGCCTGGTTTGCCGGGACCACAAGTGCCGGACACGGAAGCCACTTGGCTTGCTGGCTTCTGCCAGGCTGCGGCCCACCGGCCCCCGCCACCGTCCCCCCACGGCGCTTGAGGGGGCATACTGCATGCATCTGATGGATACAGGCGGCAGCTTGCCCAGGCAGCCCGTGATCCAAACGAGGACCAAGGGTGGCGGACGCAAACGCCCGAGCGGTGGTGCTGTAGCAGGCGGCCAGGGCCACACGACGCGTGTGCCACAGCCTTCTCTGCGTGGAGGAAAGAAGCCACGGAATGAGGAACCGGCTGCGCAGGAGGATCCACACACGCTCTGCTGGCCTGAGGGGGACCTCCTCTTCGCACGAAAGGTCAGTCCGCCAGCAGCGGCGAGGGAGGCTGGCTTAGCTAGGGAAGCCAGACCGACTCCCAAGGAGCCTGCCCAACCAGCCCCGCTTCTGGCCCTCATGGGCATTAGGACAACTTTGAAAGTGCCTCGGGAATGTCTCCTGGTACCTTAACAACCAGCCGGGGTCCAGACGGGTTTTCTGGGTTTTAGAAGAGCAGGGAAGATCTGAACCCGGCTCACCAGACTAGGTGCCTGCCCTTTGAACTGGGAAGTGAGAACAGTAGACAGTCCCCTGCTTTCGTTCCCGCATTAGCAATGTTACTTGGGTGCAAGTCTTTTTGGCCCCTCCGGGGTTCCTGTGTAGCTTCTCCTGCTTACTTCCCTGTTTTTCTCTTTTGCTTCTGCAGTGTCAGGAACTCCAGGGCTTTGTCCAGCCTCTGATAGAGCTTCTCAGCAGGCTGAAAATGGGCCGCTTTGCCCAAGGTGAGGAGCCGTGCGGCAACCGCTGGGCCTTGGCTGTCGGGGGAACAGCCCCTTGTTTCATCTTGTGGTTCCGATCAAGAGTCCTGGAATGGTGCTGAAGTTGTTAAATACTGATAGAAAGGTCTAGAAAAGATGTGGAGTGCAGGCCAGAGAATCCCTTTTTCCTCTGGACCTTTGGAAGATGGGAAGCGGGTCTTTCCTCCACAATTGTCTGTGATTCCCCCCGGCATTTTTTCTAGGCTGTCGCATCTCTGTTTGTGGACTGCCCTGTGATGCAAAACAGGCAGGGGTGTGCCAGGAGGGACGCCAGTCAAGCAGCTCTGGGCTGCAGATCACTGGCTGCCCCTCTTCTCCTCCTTGGCTTGGAGCCATCGCAGGAGAAGTGCAACCCAAGATCCTGCGGAAGGTTTTGGATCAGACGCATCATGCCTTTCCTGGGAGAGCCGAGCGAAGCCGAACCTGCAGGCTGCCTTACCCTCTCCCACAACCGAGGAGGCAGCAGCTGGCCCTGGATGGAAATTCAGCCTTTTCGTGGTTGTTGTCTGCCTTTGGCTTCAGCGTTTTTAGTTTAGTCTAGTTTTTTAAACATTCCAAAGGCTTCCTTAAGAGCATTTCAAAACAGCAGGAGGAGTCCACACACAGCCAAATGGGCCCAGTTATGTAATAAATATATTTCATTTCTCTCGCTGGGGAGGAATTATGTAATGGCAGCTCTTCAGGGGAAAATGAGCCACGCCTCCTGAAACAAGATTCTGCCTTCTCATGCAGGCTGCCTTTATAACTAGTGGTTGCAAAGGGCTGGAAGTGACATCCAGGTGCTAAATGTAGTATATCGTGTGTGTGGGAGAGGGAGAGGGACTTTCCTGCAGTTAACTGCAGTCCGAAAGCAGCTGAAAGTTGCCAAGTTAGGGAAGTTTGAGTGCAGTAAGCTTTTGTTATGATCCCGCAAGGTGTTTCTTACAGTTCCAAATGGGGAGCTGGAATTCAAATGTAGAATTGCACTGGTCCTCTTATGCAGTGGGCTGCACGTTCCTCCACGTGGCCTAATTTATTTATTTAATATTATATACTAATGCACCTCCCATGGATGGATATAAATCGTGACCACATTTATACGCTTACTTGCTTTAAGAAAAGCCATCAAAGTAGTGTACAATGATTTGAAACAATCCTACTCTGAAAGAAAAAAAAAATGGGGAAGTTAAAAGCAAGTAACACTAGATCTAATCTCAAAGGCTAAATTAAAAGGATGTCTTTACACCCTTCCGAGGCACCGAGAGAGGGGTGCTCTCACGTGATGACCCCCCCCCCCCGTGCCATGCATTTTCCCAAGCAGGGAGAGGTGGGTGTTCATAAAATGATCCTTTTCTGCAAGCAGCACCAAGGGAGCCCAGCCCGCACGCTGCCTGGCTGCCACCGGGCAGCCGAGGAGCACAGCCGTTGGAACGGTGGCGGGCTGAGCAGCATCTCTTTCTCGCTTCGGTTTTCCAGGGCTCAGCAGCTTTCAGCAGAGTGTGGCCATGGACAGGATTCAGCGGATCATCGGAGTCCTACAGAAACCAGAGATGGGGTAAGCGTGTGGCCCCAAGGGACATGCACAGATCTTGGGCGCATTTCCCACCCAGGCCATTGTGGGAAGGACAGCCGGACGGCCAGCCAGCCACACACCGGCCCCTGGCAAGGGCGTCTGACAGGCTCCTGGAAGTCCAAAGCCTGACAGGCTGTTGCACCCGCCGGGGACTTCCTTCATGCCCCTCCCCGGGGTCAAATGCTAGGCTCCAAGCTCCTCAGGACGGAGACCCAGCCCTGCTGCTTGGCAGAGCTCCGTGGGTGTTGGCATTGTGAGGAGGATGAGCAGCACTGGCCGCTGCAAATGGGGCCGGGGGCGGGGCAAGCATGTCAGTGTGCGCAGCCCTTGGAAGCGGAATTGCGTTTGCCCCTACCTGGCTGGGCTCCACGGGGACATCCATGGCTCTGGGGGCAAACGCTGCACCTGTGCTTATGCGCCTCCTCTTTCCTCCTGCAGTGGGCGGTATCTGGGCACCCTGTTACAGGTGGAGAGGATGCTGAAGCTTTGGTTCCCCCGTGTCACCTTGAAGAACTCGTGTGCCGACTGCGGGGCAGCAGCGGAGACGGCCGAGGAGAGAGACAAGGTTTGCTCCGCTCTTCTCATCTGGTGCCTTTGGGCTGAATGGTTGCAGTCTGCAGAATCAGTGAGGACCTCGGCCCTTCAGATTGCCCAGAGATGCAGGGGCGGGCTGTTGGCAGATCGGTCTGCACTCACCCACCCCACACACACGCACTACAGGGTCTCACTGCATGTGAAAAAACCTAGCCGATCAGTCTTGCGGGATCTGGCCCTCGCCTCTTCTGCGACCAGATATTCTTGGTGCATACAGGCAGGGTTTTACTGGCTGATTTTGAGTCAGCCCTCGGAGACCTGTGCCTTACAGGTGGGAGTGACACAGCTGAAGGGGGTTCCAGCTTGGTTGAGAGTTTCTATACCAAGGCTGGGTGGCTCGTGACTTTCAAAGGCAGATGGGCTGTCGCTCACAGCATTGCTCACCATTGCCTGTGCTGGCCGGGCAGATGGGAACCATAGTCCAGTCCTTTCTTGAGGACCAGTTTGTCCTGTCATGGAATTCTGTGAGGTGGGGTGTTCCCAGATGTTTTCTAATATTTTCAAACTGCTTTCAGCTTATAATTGGAAGTCACCCTGTTTGGGCTGGAAGTTAACGCGTATAAAAGTGTATAGAAATAAAAGTAAAATAAAAATAACGCGTATAGAAATAAAAGTGACTGATGGACCCCCCCTTTCCTCCCACAGCCCTCCATGGAAGAGAACGTGGCCAGCAAGTGGGCCGCGTCCACCCCAAGCTCCGTGCGGAGCCCTCCCGGGGGGAAGCCTCTTGTGAGCCCTGCCTCCCCTGACAGCACCCCCGGCACTCCCTGGGCAGAACCAGCACCGTTTCTGGCCGACTGGCCTGCCATGAACTTGACCTGGATTCACACTGCCCCCATTTCAACCCCCCCCTTGGGGCAGGTGGACTTCAGCCAGATGGGCTCCACCATCAAGCAGGCCTTGCTGGGGCCCAGCATGAGTGCCTATGGAGTTGTTGTCTTCTTCCAGAACAACCTTGCCACCCTGGGTCCCTACGACCACACCTCCCCGGCCTCTTGCCATTCCAACACACCCCTTCCGGGCTCTGCGGAGCATCCTCGGTGCCGGAGCTTGCCGGGCCCCACGGTGGCAGGGAGCCAGCTTCCCAGAGGGACTCTTGACCGCTTCTCAAGGTCTCTGCCCCGTTTGCCTACATCCAGTGAAGAACGACAGAAAATGGGCAGTGGAACATCTCCGTATTCCAGCAGCTCCTGATACTCTGTTACATGCATTTCCCAAATGGTGTGAATTTTCTTCCCCCTTCCCCTTTTTTTAAAACAAATGTTTGCCTTCCCTTTGTTTTTGTTTTGTTTTGTTAACTTAAATAATTTCATATGCATTAAAGAATGGATGCAAAACTTGGTCATCCATCAGGCCGAGAGGGAAACAGGTCTGGGTTTCAATAAAGGCACTGCAGTGGTTGCCAACTGAGCTTGCACAAAGTGTGTTTTTTCTGTGGGTGTGACACTTCATGCGTTTTGGGAAGAACATGCTGTGTTGTGGAGGCTCTCAACATTTTTCCAGGTGTCTTTTCCAGAGCGCTGGACCATTCTAGGCAAAATCTAGCACATTGCAGAGCAAGTCCTGCTCAAATGGACAAAGAGCCACCTTGCCCTCCATCTTGGAGACCTCCAGGATGTTTCCAGACCCTCTACTCCTGTTCCAATCTTCTAGCACAGGATACTCAAAATAGAAGCATTACTAAACCTGCTGGCTGTATGGGCACCACACCCCAAGGTTGTTGATGCACCCATCTTTGCATTTACTCAAAGCTCTTGCACCACATTCCAGTAATGAAAGGCACCATCCTTTGTGTGTTTAGGCAGAATAGCCTACAACTCTGAGCAAATCCATTCTGGCTGGGAGTTGTTGGCACTTTTCCCGTCTAAACAAGCAGAGGACTGTACCTAAGGCAACCAGTAAATGATCAATGAGAAGGCCCAAGGAAATGGGCAGAAATGCAAGTTGAAATGGAAGTTTTGCAACCTTTGCAAGGGGTGGGGAAAAAGAACAGCTCGGCAGGTGTTTGGACAGGGCACCTGGGCTGGGAATGCAGCCCCTGGCAGGGGCCTCTCCCAACACCCTATAGCAGGAATGGGAGCAGAAAGACCAGTCAGAAAAACCAGTGCTGCTGCTCAGGTGAACATGCAGTTGGAGGGTTGTGTGTGCAAGAATCTGAGCAGTTTCTACTGGCCTTCGGGACTTGAGTGATGGATGTGAATTAATTGAAAAACAAGGGCAGAACATCAAAGGGAAGTTTGGGTGTGGGTACACATGGATGGGCTTGCCAAGCCAGGCTTCCAGAGGTGGCAGCAGGTTTGCTCGCAGTGCAGTTATTAATTTTGTGTTAGATTATGAAGTGTGTGTCACTCCAAGGATCAAAGCAGGTTTTGTGTTGCTTTGACCTAATACATCCAACTATCCTTGAAAGTGAAAAAGGTTGGAGCTTAGCAGAAGGACTCCTGAACACAGAAGGTCACGAGGGATGCTATCATCTCTGGGAAGAGCTATGCATCACTGCGGCCAGCCAGAATAGACCAGCGTGGCAGAAGTGGAGGAGCCAAAATAGCTCTTCCTGTTAAAATTACAGCAATGCTACATTACAGATTAACTGCTGCATTGCAAGACCTCGCTTGGTAGCAGAATATATGGAGGAAACGAGGCAGCTTATTGGAGCCTGATGCAGCAGAGCAAGGAGGCAGCCAAGAATGCTTCGGGGAATTTGACCTAACAGAAGCAGAATGTAGGGCGGACAGCGGTGAGTTTTAACCCAAGTGTGGTACTCAAAATGAGAATTCTGTAGTGCAGTTGCACCACCTACTGCTAACTGAAGAAGTAGCCCAGCCTTGCCTGTCAACATACTTCAGGCTGCAAGCCTGTGCGACAGCATTCCCAACTTGGGACCCTCGAGGTACCTTGAAATGCAACAGCCATCAGCCCTGTCCTAGCTTGGAATCACTGCCAGGGGAAGAAAATGAGTCTTTTTGGAGGCTGCTGCATTCATTCATCCATCCACCTTGGTCTGTGGCAAGCACTGTAAAATGTTCACACACAAGCACATTTCACGCTGTGTTGCGCTCGTCTTCCTCAGATTGCTTGTTCAAAAGACTTAAAAGTTTACCCCGGGGTGGGATGGGATGCTTCTGAGCCCGTCCCATTCAATATGGGGTTGGTCATGAGGAACTCAATTCTCAGCTGAGCCCTTTTTTAGATTGCTGATCGTTGCTTCGTTTTGCTTTGCGTTCGCAGGGCCAACACCTTGCCAATGAAATACACGAATTATTTCTACCACATTAATGATACGAATACAACACTTTTTAGAAAAGTCCCTCACAACTTCATGCAACTAGGCCTTGACAAAGGCTGCAGCTCCTTGCAAATGCCTGGAGTGTGGGGCGTGCCTTTTTTACACACACACACACACACACACACACACACACAGAGAGAGAGAGAGAGAGAGAGAGAGAGAGAGGATGTTGGGTCGCAGCCCTGCTTGCAGCCATTCCCGGTTTCCGGGCGAGCCCGCAGCGCTGCAGGCCAGGCGAGAACGCGCGAGGGCGCCGGCGGAGGCACCCGAGGCGGGAAGCGAGCATGCGGGGCGCGACGCAACCCGCGTCCCCGGCCTCGAAGGGCCTCCTCTCGCGCTTGCGCCCTGGCAGGCGGCCGCCGCGCCCTCGCCGTTGCCGTGGTTACCGGGCCCCGGGAGAGGAAGGGGAAGGGGCGGGGCGTCCGGGCCCCGCTTCCGGCTGCGGGTTGGTCCGCCGCTTGGGGCCAGCGGGCAGCCGCGAGGTGAGTCGTCGCTGCTCGGGGAGCTTCTGGGGCGCCTTCTCTTTGGGGCGCGGTAGGCCGCGCGCATCCTGGGCCTCGAGTAGTGGCCGCTGCCCGGGGAGGGGGGGAGGGGGAGCGAGCCCGCCCGGGCTGTCCAAGGCCGACTGTGCTGCTGCTCTTTGACGGAGCGCAGTGCTCGCCTTTCCTCGGGAGGGGAAGTGAAAGGCCGCCCCCCGGTGGCGGGTGGGTTTGAGGTTTCCCGCTAACATGATTTGCTTAAAGTACAAATTATTATTATTACTATTATTATAACATTTCTATGCCGCCCCTTGCCGAAGCCTCGGGGCGGCTTACAACACAATAAAATACATTGAAATACAATAGAACAGAATAAATTACCACTAAATACAAAAAATACAAAAAAATGCAGATACAAGAATCATTTGACAAAATGAAAACACGAAATTCTCTCTCTCTCTAATGTCACTTTAGTGCACCTCTGCACCGGAACCATGGCTTCCTAGTGGTTTGTTTGCTTGTTTTTCTTTCATTTTCCCACTCTTTCAGAAATACCCCCTTCCATCCAAAATTGCAATACATCCATTGAAGGTTTAGTACCCTCCCCTTTTATTAATACATGTTCAGTGAACTAACCCCATATATTGTTAAAATCATTCTTTATCAATCCTTCTTTCACCTTTATCTCACATGTCAACTTACCATTAACTGCTATATTCCAAACATCTTTATACTTTCTCATTAATGGAAGATCCCGTTTCTCCTTCCAATTCTTTGCTATTATCAGTTTTTCTGCTGATACCAAATTTATTATTCAGTCTTTACTATTCCATTTCTTTTCACAAAATATTAATAATGCTATCTCAGGATCTGCTTCAATTTTTAAGATTTTATTAGATTTCTGAATCACCTTTCAAATATTGTTTTTCCAGGTACAGGGGCTTGTATGTCTTAGAAGGATTATACACAGTTAAAAGTAAAAAGTTATACTGAAAAAGCAAAATAGCAGCTAAAAGCAATATTTAAGGGTCACCCTGTGGTTCTAGTGACCTACTTGCATTGTAGTGCATTCATACGTTCAAAGTGGTTCATATACGTAATATTAATAGATTCACATTTCCAGGTGGCTGTGTGAGATTTGTATGTATGTGCACATAGCCTGAAACTGATAGTAGCAGAGTTATCTTTTTGAAAAATACTTTAGTGTAGTGGTTTGAATGTTGGAATGGGACTTGGGAGATCTGAGTGCAAGTTCTCATCTGACCCTGGAGCTCCATGGGTGACTTTGGGCTGATCCCTGACCCTCAGCCTAACCTACTTCCCAGGGTTTTTTGTGCTGGTAAACTGGAGAGGAAGAGGACAGTGCAAGCTACCAAGGGTTCCTTGCAAGGGGAATGTAAGAACTGAGTAATTGTATTTGCAGGATTCTGATGGGTGTTCCTGGCATTGCATAATACTCTCCATCTCCTCAAGGAAAGTTACATACTGTCTGCCTTAAGACAACTTTGTGCGATCCCCATATTGCAGATAGGAAAGCTGAGGGCAAAAGAAATTGTGGCTTACTTGAGGCTTATGTCAGAGAAAGGATTTGAACCAGGACTTATTTGCATGACTAGGCACCGTACTAACCCTGAACATTTTTTGTGATGCACACTTAGTTCTGGATGTGTGTGGGTTTTGGGGGGGGGGGTTCCTGCTTAATATCAGGTATCCTATTGAAAGACTCTGCATGTTCCAGAAGCGAATGACCTCTGATACCTTGATGTAGAAACAACCACACCTAAGATGTCCCGCCACTTGAAATTTATCGCCCGGACGGTGATGGTCCCAAACAACAATGTGGACGGCGCCTACCAGGTTCTCAACAGGTAGAAAAGTTTACTTCAGTCTCACTGTGTTCCAGGAGTGCCGGCGGGGGTTCTGGGAGGGAATGGGTGGCTTGGGTCTGAGCTACTCGCTGTGATTTAGGCGGATGAATGCACGTGTGTCCCCTCTGTTGATGCAAAGGAGAATGGAAGACCCTTGTGATCAGCGGTTTTATGCAACTTTCTTTCGTTCAGAGAGGGGAACTGTGTCTTCATGTCCGTAATGATGTAATGATGTCTCGTGCGAATCCTGTGCTTTAGTGGAAGTGTGCCTGTGATACCCCCTACTGGCCAGATATCATGATCGGGAGCATTTTCTGCTTTTATCAACAATGTTTCCGCAAGACCTGCAACACTCACGTGATGCCTTGGTTGTGTGTTGTTGCTTTCAACTACACAAATGGATGTTCGTTATGTTCATCTGAAGAGCATCCGCTCCTACAGTAGGCAGATGTTTGTGTTAAAGAGCCCCTTGAAAGATTTCTGCCTGCAAACCTCTCCTTTTTAGTGAAGCTTAAATTGGAAGAGCATCCGTAGGGGAACTACAAGGGACTCCATCTGGAGCATTCTTCCTCCAAGCCTCCTTAATGCTAGATGGATCCCATGGAGGCAGTTCTGTTTGTCGTGCATTTCGTGTCGGATGTTAAAGTTGTGCTAGGGCGTGTGTGTCCCCTCCTGGGCCCAAGGCTCCCAAGGAGGCCCTCCATCTTTTCCACCAGTGGATGGGTGATTTCCTGGCTTTTGCACCATTTCCCCTGCCTCTCCATTCTGCAAGTGCCTCTTGTATGGCATAGCTCTGGCAGTCTGAGCTTTTAAGCTAAAAGAGGCGTGTAGCTTTGGCCCTGCCCCTTTTGGACTTGTCTCAGCCTGCCCCTGGCATGCAGTTCCCGTAAGGGTCTTCAGAAGGAAAGACCTTGATCCCTCCTGTCCCCCAAGGCGCACGGTTGTTTGCTTGCTCGCTTCATCCAAAGAGCACTGGCGCAATCCCGCAGGCAGTGTGCCCTGATGCACATTGCTGTGATGCCTGAGGCAGACCTGTCTTCTCGAACTTGTTTCTGACGCAGTTGCGTTGAGACAGAGGGGGGCCTTTTGCAGACTGAACAAAATGGCTGTGCTCCAGCTGGCAGTCACGGGGTTTCGTCCACAGGCATGTCTGTTTTCTGCTACGTTCTGATGCCAGGAATGGGATTGGGGGCGAGATATTCTGCAGGGATTGGTTAGATTGATACCTTTGGACCTTGAAATGGGGCCTCCTGTTTGAGGCGGAGGTCTAGGGATAGGAAAGACTGTGTGGGGTGAATGAATGAAATTGGGATGAGAGCTCTGTTTTTCCTCCCAAGTCTTCACATCCGTAGAAGTCTGTGAGACACACCGTGCTAAACCGGATGATAGAATGTTAAGAGCAATATACCTTCACCTGCACACAAATCTGAGTCGCCTCTTGGTCTCCAGAGGCTTTGCTGAGTTGTCTCCTAAAGCACCTAAAATGCCTGTTTGGGGTGAACAACCTTGGTACATCTGAAGCAGTGCTGAGGAAGTAGCAGGAGAAAGAACGAAAGGGGCCTGAGCAGGTCAACACATGTAGAATGCAAGAAAGGCGGAGACAAGAGAGTGGAAAGGGCAGAAACCAAGGACTAAAAGCTTGAGGTGGGAAACAGTTTCCTACATGTGCCAGCATTAGCCTGAGGCTGTTTTTGGAAGGACCCTTAAATGTTTGGGGCAGGCACATGATGGGTGTTATGCAGGGGGACAGAGGAAGAAAATGCTTTGTAGTGTCTCAAGCATTCAGATTGCTAGGAAATTGGGGGGGGGGTTCTTTCTTGCCTAGTGGGAGGCCGGTGCAAGGTGTGTGTGACTGGAGAGAAACAAAAGGTTCTGCAAAGGGATTGGAAAAACCCTTGATAGGTTCGCCCTGAGTGGCAGGCAAGACAGTGGTTTTCTTTCTTAAGACCAAACGGGGGGTCTCCTACATGTGCGTGGCCTCTTTTTGTCTGTGAAGCATCTGGGGTTTTTTTCTAGCAAGACACCCAGTGGAGAATTTACGGGGTTGGATTAGTCATTAACTGAGCAAAAAGCCTCCCTGAGATGGGGGGAAATGCTGCCATGTGAGGATCTGTTACTAGCAGCGGCAGCTGCTGGCTTCTTGGGGGGTTTTGACTGCCTCCCTTTATGTGCTTCTGGTTGTTCAGCCAGGGCTCTTGCTGATTGCTTGAAAAATAATGTGAATGGCAGTGGCTGTGCTCTGTGTGTGTGTGTGTGTGTGTGTGTGTGTGTGTGTTTCGCTTAGTCCTGAACACGTTTTGTCCAAGTGCCGGTGCGTCACCAACAAACCAAACGTGTCTTTCTCACAGCCCCAGCCCATGAGACCCTAAGCGGGATGTGCAGGAGGTTGCATAACTCCATTCCGAGAAATGGCTACACCAGGATTGGCCCTGCTGCTGGGTGGGAGAAATGACAGAGCTGTCTCTCATTGGGCACCAGGTGACGGTGGGCGGCACTCGGACTCCATTCAGGACTATTTTCCCACACGCACGGCAGGCTCCATGTGAATGCAGACATTGCACTGACAGATGTCTGGAATTGTTTCAGACTCGGCTAAAGACAAACCAGCACCTTTTTACAACACACATGTAACTTTCTAGTTTTCTTTTTCAGTTATTTGAAAAAGAGTCTTCATATAAATTCCTTCTTGCAGCTCATCTCTTGGCAGTCTCTTTGCCTTGCAGGCCATTGAGTGGTTTTTGGCTTGACAAGACGTGTGTGTTCACTCCCTTGTCTTCACAACAAATCTGGCACGATTGGAGAAGATCCATGCTTCTTTTGCTGTTCTAATTCTGAGCATTTGTACGCTGCATTTCAGGCGCTCAAGTGCTCTTTGTAATGCCTTTATCTCAGTCATCCTTACTGAGCCCTGCAAGGTAGGCCGAAGCTATCTATCTTCTACTGCAGGGAGAAGAGGTGAGGCTGAGAAAATAGAGTGTCTTCCTTACCGTTACCTATTCAGCAGGTTTTGAGACGGAGCATCAGTGTGTCGCTCCTAGCATGTGTCAATCTTTCTGGCCCTTTTGGCCACAGGAAAAGGGCTTTAAAAACACTTCTTTTCTGTGGCTCCCCGTAACTGCAGCATCCCGTATTCACCTGTCCCACCATCCATCATACAATGGGTGGATAACTGTTGAGGAGGAAGTTTTTTAAAGCCCTTTTCTAGTCATATAGATTGGCCTGCTTGCATCTCCAGACTGGGACCAGTACTTTGAGTGGGGGTGGACAGTCACTCCAGTAATGGCCTTTCAAAGAGACTGTGTGGAGCTGCATGTTCTGGGTTTACACAGCTGGATTTGAATAATTTGCCATGTTTGGTGCAGGTGCTGGTCGTAGGTGGACTGTTTGGTTAGGTAGTGGTAGTGTCCTTACAGAGGTTTCTTGAACCCAGCCCCCTGCAAAGTGACCTCTCGGGGCTCCCTGACCGTGTCTCTGATGGAAAGAGCCATCTATTTCAGGATCGCTGCTGTATGTGCCCATGTGGATGTGTGTGTGTGCGCACCTTTGGCCTGTGACGTGCAGCCTGTAGTGCCAAGAAGATTTTGCCCCCTTGCTTTAATTTCTCCTCCATCAGTCATGGGTTTTTGAAGATACAGAATAAAAGGGGGGCGGTGAGTGTGAGGATGGTACCTGAAGAAAATTGGCTATTGCATCAGCAAGCCCTTGGATGGAAGGAGAGCAGGGTTGCTATACTAATTCTGGCCTCTTTTAGAACACAACTCCATACTTTGTTTCCTTCAGGATCCTAACCATAGATGGCATCATCGACGAGGCCAAGAGGCGCCGGTATTATGAGAAGCCTTGCCGCAAGAGGCAGCGGGTGGCCTATGAGACGTGCCGGAGGATCTATAACCAGGAAATGACCCGCAAGATTAATTTCCTCATGCGGAAGACTCGTCCAGACCCTTGGCTTGGCTGTTGAGCTTGAAGTCTTCGCAGAGGGAGACTTCGGCAAAACTGCTCTTTGATTTGTTCCCTTGTTTGCTTTCTGAACAAAGCTGGCAGAGAGGATGGCGGCCCTGTTTTCCCCCGTCAGTAGGATCTTTTTGACACTGGGTTACCAGCTTTTATTTAGACATGAAAATGTGTAAAGTGAATAAAAGCAATGTTTTGTAGCATTCGCCAATACCAAGATTAGTTAGTACCTCCTTAACTACTTGGCGAAACCATTTCTTGGTCTTTCCTGAAGCAAACCATGCCTGCTTGATTTTTTAAATGCTTTCTAAATAGAGGGAAGGTTAGAGGGGAGGTTGAAAGAGGTAGTCCATCAGGCAGACAATACTATTGAGATTTCTGCATGCAGGTACATTTATTTGCATGGGAGAGCATTTTTTAAAAATGGGGTCTCCTTCACTTGTAGCCTGAAGGCACAGAGTCAAGGAAAGCCATTGTCATTCACTTGAGCTGTCCAACCTTCACCAGGCATTTTAAAGGATTTCTCTTCTCGCAGCTAATAAAATGTTACCTACATTTTAAAGCCGTTACCGTGTTGATGCTGGCTCACTCTGTGGTTGTAGAACTGCCGCCCGGTGTTCCTGTTTTCTCTGTAGGAAGAGCCATGTACCAGGACAGTAGGTCAGAACTGATGGTCAGGATTCTGGCAGGATGGGCAACTTGTAGGTCAAAAGATCCAGAGAGTCCCAACTCTGTAGCTCTAGCCAGCGTTGCCCAATAGCAAGTGATCACAGGAGCTGTAGCCCAGACAAAGTGAAGTGCGAGAAGTTGTTCAGCTCCTGTGTGAGAGTGGCATTAGAGGAACCGTGCTGTATCAGACCAAAGGGCCCTCAGTCTGTTTCCCATGGGCAGAAATTCCACAGCTGCAGTTCTCCATTCCTGATTTGGAAAGATGTGCATGTGTTCTTCTCTGATGAGGCCTAGTTGCATCCATTAAGGGTTTAAAGGAACTGCAGTTTTTAACTAGAAGTTACTTATTTTGCTGTACACTGAAGCCTGTTTCAGACAGACATTCTCTTTCTGGAAAACTCCATGGGGAAAAAATGACCTGCTGTGGGCTGGGGCATTGGGTAGATATCTTGCAGTATGCTATTTAACAACTCTTTGTGTTGTAAAATATCTGGATTTTGAAGAAAAGTGTGCTAAACTCCAAAATTGTTGTAACCTGCTCTTTTAGCCCCATTCCTCCAGTAGTGGAATAATCACTGGCCTCCGTTTGGGGACTGTCAACCAATTTTCAGATTCAACCTCCTCCTTTGGCAATATGACAGTGACACTGGGTTATGCCATTGCCTGCCAACTACAGGACACTGTTTTAGTTCACATTTTATATTGTTCAACTGACCCGAGACGTCGGTACGGGACGGCCTAGAAATTTTTTAAATAAATAATACAGTCTGCTGTATTAACAATGGGGTTCGGTACAGGCTACTGTACTGTAATTTGGGAATGCACTGTATTGTACAGGCCGCAAATGCTCAGTGTGTTTCCTTGACTATGTAATGTGTAAACAATACCGGTGGGTTACAGTCCCCCATCCTTAGCTTACAGCACAAGATAGAATCATCGCAGTCTGCATTTTGGGATTGTTGTGAGCTGCTTTCATTTAGGCACACTGGCCAGCCTGCAATGTGGGGTTGTTGTTAGTTGTGAAGTTGTGTCCAACCCATCGCAACCCCATGGACAACATTCCTCCAGGCCCCCCTGTCCTCCACCATCACCGGAGACCACTTAAGCTCACACCCACTGCCCCAGTGACCCCATCCAGCCACCTCACCCTTTGCCGTCCCCTTCTTTTGCCATCAATCCTTCCCAGCATCAGGGTCTTCTCCAAGGAGTCCTTCCTTCTCATTAGGGGGCCAAAGTATTTGAGTTTCATCTTCAGTATCTGGCCTTCTAAAGAGCAGTCAGGGTTGATCTCCTCTAGGACTGACCGGTTTGATCGCCTTGTGGTCCAAGGGACTTGCAGGAGTCTCCTCCAGCACCACAATTCAAAGGCCTCAGTCCTTCGGCGCTCAGCCTTCCTTATAGTCCAGCTTTAACAGCCACACATTGCAACTGGGAGAACCATAGCCTTGACTATACGCACTTTTGTTGGCAGGGTGATGTCACTAGGCTATAGTGCCCCTGGCCAGGGGTGGGAGGGAATTTGTAAAGAGTAGGGCCCAGACCAGGAGTGGGGATCTTGTGGCCTGCCAGCTGTCACTACAATTCCTATTATCCATTAGTTATGCTGACTGGTGCTGATGGGAATTGCAGCCCAGCAACCCCTGGGGGCACATGTTCCACATCCCTGGACAAGCCATGCCATCTTTCTCGGACCGCTCGGTGGAGAGCACGTGCGTTGTGTGCGGCGCATCCCAGATTCGAGCCCCGAGAGCCTCTCCTGCTCCCGCTGCGAAAGGGCCCTGGCCTGGAAGCCTGGAGAGCGGCCGCTGCCGGACGAGCTGGAGGTGGCCCGGCTCCGTCGAAGGCAGGTTCCCCTCTCGCTCCCCAGCCAGCAAGTCAGCAGCAGGAATGATGGGTGCCGCGACCCAGCCACCAGCGCTTCGGCCGTTCCTTTCAAAAAGCTCTCCCGCTGATCTTTAATTCGAAGGCGAGGATGAAGACGCCGCAGCCGCCTGACAGCGCGGCGCCCGGCCATTTAATGTAATTTCAAAGATGGCGCCCTGCCCCCCCCCCCCCGACCCGGGCGGTCCCGCCTCCGCGAGTGGCGCACACTCCGTGGTCAGAGCCACTTCCGGGCCCCGCTGTCCCACCACTTCCTGCGCACTCGCTGGTGCTGGCTCCCTCCATTTCCGCTTCCGCTCCGCGCGCCGACGACGTTCCCTCTCCGTCCGTGGAAGCCTCTGGCGCGGCCTGGCCTGGCCTGGCCTTGCCTGGCTGAGGAGAGAGGCCGCCGGGCCGACCACCGGGTGAGTGGCGGGGCGGAGGGGCCGGCGCGTTCAGGCGGGAGGGGGCTCGGCCTTTCCCCTGGGGGAGGGGGGAGGGGAGGGGAGGGGAGGGTGGGAGTCCCCTCCCCCCCTCCCCCTTCCCCCCTCCCCAGCAGTCCCCAAGATCAGCCTCCCCGGCCTGGTACCTGCTAGATGTATTGGGCTACAGTGCCCATTATCCCCAGCCCGTATGGCATTTAGGGTGACGGGGACTGTAGCCCAAGTTATCTTCAGAGGGGCCCCGTCGCGGAAAGGCCGGCCCACGTAAGGCTGTAGACGCACTGCACGTTGAAGGCGTGCATTGCTGTTGCTGTCGTTATTGCTAATGCTATTTGCGTTATTCGTGTTGATCCAGCCCACATTTGCGACGTCCTCTCCCCGTCCTACCGAAGTATTGTGCTCCAAGTCGTAACACTGATGCGTGTGTTTGTATTATGAATACCCCTTTCCGCTGGGGCCGCTCCTCTTGCTTCAGGAAGTACCTGAAGGAAGATAAAAAATCCCCGAGAAAGGCAAAAAACGTTTTCTGAAAAATTGGGCAACATAAACATTTCTTTCTTCAAGTAACGTAGCATTTTCTTTGTTTCATTTGGGGATACATTAATGCTTTCCCATCTCGTGGTCCTTTCTTTCATTATCGCTTTTGTTATTTTCCTTAACTACATTTTGTTTATACATTTGCTTATTTGTTGGCTTCATTCCTATACCATTTAGTAGTCAAAAGTCTCTGGGTGCTTTGCAGAAAGAGTAAAACCTTACATGCAGTATAAAGCATGGCATAAAAGCTATTTACATACAGAAAGAATACAGAATAAGTAACAATAAAATCCCTGGACCACATTTGTTCCTTCCTTTCCCCATGACTGCTACCCTTCAGATTTCCCACACCCCGCATTAAACTTCAAGCCTGGACTAGGTTTTCATGTGAAAAGCAGCTTGCTATGGAGTTTCAGGGTGTGCTTAAATATATAACTGGATGTGTGACTCTAGATTTCATTCAGCCATGGAAAAGTGGACTGTTTTGACCAGTCATCCAATAAATTAAGCTCTTTCTGCTTTAAGAAGCTAAAATAAACTTTTTATTATTTGGTACAGTGTGGTACAATTTCTTTAAGGCAATCTTTCTTTTCTTTAAGAAAGTATACGGTCTTACTAATCAACTAATGTTAAAACATTATTAGTACAAGTTGATGGATCTGTAGTACAGGTGAGTTTATTTCACTGCACGGTGCAACTGCCTCCTTGCAGTGTTGGGCTGGACTGGGGAGGGTTTTCTATGAATCCTGTTCCTAGTGTGGTTGGAGGCAGACCTATGTGGTGTGGGTGGGCCATAGAGGAAGAGGTGGGAAAGGTACCCTGCTTGTGCAAGGTAGGAGGTACGTGTGTGCTTTGTCATGTTCGTAGTTTTGATTCTGAGGGCTAGGGATATGTAAAGAAACAGTCTTGTTCTTTTTCTCCCCTTCGTCTGGGTCTTTTTGGTAAATGATGATGTAATGCCAGTGCACTCAAGGCAGATGCATTTCCTTTCAGGCCAAGGCACCTTTTCTTAAAGATGGCGCTCTCCAAGAGGGAGCTGGATGAATTGAAGCCATGGGTGGAGAAAACAGTGAAGCGGGTGCTTGGCTTCTCTGAGCCCACTGTTGTCACTGCTGCACTAAACTGTGTTGGGAAGGGAATGGACAAGAAGAAAGCAGCTGGTAAGTCTTTACTCCCTGGTAAAAGTTATCCCAACACCAGCCTTAGCAACTCATACTTAGAAACTTACAGACCCGTCAGAGGATTATTTGCCCTGCTTCTCTCCCACCTCTGGCTGCCTATTCTTCTATCTGGAAGCATTGCCAGAAGTTGGATCTGGGACTATCTGCATGAAAGGCAGTTGCTCTGTCACAGATCTGTGGGACACCTGCCCTTCTTACATGCTTGTGAGGCAGCCATTCATGCTGAGGATCATCTGTCTGCCCTTCTTATCCAGCCTTGGCAGGTGGCCTGCCAACTCTAGAGCCAGCTTAGGTAACCTGGAGTCCTCCAGGTGTTTCAGACAATGGGCCCCAGTCAGCATGTCTGGAAGGTGCCAGGAAATGCTCAGCCCCTTCCTTGAGGGAAGTCATTAGCGGTGCAAGAAGTCAAGGCAGGGTTCCATTAAGAGTTACTTGAGATCTTTTTTGCAGAACAGGAATGGTTTGAGAAGGTGGCGGTTGCTTTGCGGAGGTTGCTGTGTCAGGCAGGTATTCTGTACAGGGAAACACCATATCTCTTTGGTTGCCTCCTGGAGGCCACGGTGTACAGGGACAGCGATGGTTGTTTGGGGAGGAATTCCTTTGACCTCCTTTGTTCTTACATTCCTCTTTTCTACCCCTAGATCATCTTAAACCCTTCCTGGATGATTCCACCCTGCGGTTTGTTGATAAGCTCTTTGAAGCAGTCGAAGAAGGCCGAAGTTCCCGGCACTCTAAGTCGAACAGTGACCGGAACCGGAAGAGGGAACTGAAGGTGAGCTGAACTCCTGATTGGGTTTTGCCACTCCTGATTGTACTGTTGACAAGAGTTTGCCAGTTGTGTGTGACAACGTTGCTTCACTGTTTTTCCTTCTTCCAGAAAGGGCTTTGTGCTGTAATGCCTAAAAGTTCAAGAGAAAAGGCCTTTTTCTCGAATATTTTACTAAGTGTGTGTATCTGGAATCCTTTCTGAGTTTTCTTTAATACCATGCAGTCTCTCCATCTCAATCAGTCCCAAATCTTAGAGGTGTGGCCAGAGCAGATCACAGATTAACATTTTAGATATTCTGCTGTTCCTATTTTCTCTTGTTCACGTCTGTGAAACCTGAGAAGCTGATCTTGTTATGGAGGCGGGACACTGCCCTCTTAGCTTGCCGAGGGAAGAATTTGCCTAGACAGGAATTTGCCGTACTACCCTTACCTGCGTGCTTGTGCAACAAAACAGGTACATTGGTGGAGTTTGTGTGTTCAACATCCAGGTGCCCAGTGTGGGATGACGTATTGTTAGGCTGACTTCTCCAGTCCCCAAATCAGTGCAGGCCACAATGAAGGCAGGAGAAGACTGGGGTGGGGTGCAGGTGCTGATAGAAACAGATCAGACTGCATGAGAGGGACATGTCAATAGATGTGTTTCAAGAGACTGTTTTTGCCCCCTTTGAAATAGCTTTGGGACCCCATGGTTAAACGTCTTGACTGGATCTACCTGAAGTCCTCCAGTGAACAATCATATGCTATCGTACAAACTGAAGCACCTCTTCTTTTTTCTAGTTGAGTACACTCCTTCCTAAAACTGCAGAGCAGTTACATAGAAACAGAGCGAGTCAGAAGGGGCCTCCCGGGCCATCTAGTCTGACCCCAGCTCCAGCCGACTCCGCTCACGACATGCCTCCCATGTGCATGTCTAGCCTGGCCTTGAACAGTTAACTTCAGATAGCCAGCAAACAGAGCATGAAAGTAGTAGTTCTTCCCACCATCCCTGCAAGTGGGACTGAGTGGGAGATGACTTTAGAATATGGAGGCTCCATGCATTGGTAAGACCCCCAGCAGCTGGGAGACCTTGCCTACTCCTGCACTAATTTGTGAACCCTTCCCTTTAAGCCACTGAAGGTGGGTTTCATAAGCCAATCTTGCATGATGCAGAGAGGTCTTTTTTTTTTTTTTTTTTTTACTGTTTTGATTAATCTGGGGAGGGGGCTTGCAAAACTGAGCAGGCAGATCACTCTGTTACTGCCGTTGCTTCTTGACCCAGTAACCAGGAGACTGAGTTAGGTAATGGCCATATCTTGAAGCTTAATTTTTTTGTCCCTTTTCCTTACTCTTCAGTGCCATCCTAATTTACAAGCCAGTCATTGATGAGTTACTTGTGTTTCCTACAAGCTTTTCCTGTTGTTGTTATAAAATTGGAAATGGCAGGGTGGAGAAAATGCCTTCAACCCCAAATTATTGGGCTCCAGAAATGCTGGGGTACAGTGATCTGGCCATCTGATCTTTGACCCACATTTGCTCTTTCTTGGCCATGGGTAATCATAACTATTCAGAGAATATTTATTTACTCTATGCCGCCCCATTCGCCGAATAATAGACTGAATATTTTGCTCTTAAACTTCTTGAAAGGCCTGGTTATTTCACTCTCATCATAAGAGCACCTGGGCGCCTTCCTCATGCAGCATCATGTCCCACAGTGGCCAATTAGTGCCCTCTGGAAGGCCCAGAAGCCGCGTATGAGCCTGCTAGCTCTTCCCCATCCATGTTCCCCAGTAACTAGTAATTTGCAGGCGTGCTGACTCTGTTCCCGGAGGCGGCATAGTGCCGTGGTGGCCAGTAGCCATTCATAACCTTGTCCCCTCTGTCTTTGTTTAAACCCTCCCCCGAAGCCATCCGAGCTGGCAGCCCTCACCACATCCTGGGGCAGTGCGTCCTGGCGTGGTCTGTGTCGAGCCCTCCTTTCGTCCGTTCTGAATCTCCCACCATTCAGCTTCATGGGTGGCCTGCACTGGTTTCCAGATAAACCTGTCCCATTTCTGCACACGATTCATAACTCTGCACGGTTTTGTCATGTCCCCTCTGCTTTTTAGTGTGCCCTGGACGTCGGGCTTGGCTTCCACTTTGCCCTTGTCCTTTGTTACCCCTTTGAAGTCAGTCATTTTGTGGTGCTGCCCAGGGCAGTTCTTCAAATTGCCAAGTGTGCCCACAGCCAAAAGGTTATCTGTACCTGGTCTGTTGCTTGACCCTTTTGGCTCAGAGGAGGGGTTCCTTTTGGTCTTGGTCACAGCAGTGAAGCTCAGAAGAGGTGCGGTGGTCTGCATAAGAGTTGTGCCACGTGGTCGGAGGAGCTGCCAGAGTTCCTGTCTCTTTCACGTGTGCCACTGAAGGTGTGCTAGCAAAGGTTCTCTTCCTGCTGCCCACTTCCCGGGCCTGATTCCAGTGATTGTCTTTCACCCGGTGAACAACCATGCCTTTATCCCCCAAATGAGTACAGTCTGGTGCTCCAGGTACGGTGAGACTATCTCAGCCTATGTCAAATAACCCCCGTGTTGTCGTTCTGGTGCTGCACTGAACGAAAAGCCTGTTTCTGCTCTGTAAGGCTGGCTAATTAAGGCGGTTCATTGTTCCCAGGAGGGGGAGTGGCTGGTAATAACCTTGCGTGGTTCACTCTGAGTTTGGCACAAGCTAACCCTGCACAGAAATTTATGCATCACATTGCAGGTTCTGCACTTGGCCATAGCTCCTCTTCAGCCCAGAATGTTACTGCACTGTGGCTCTGACAGCCCACGCACCAGGGAATGTAATGTGTGGACCTGGTGCTCCCTTGAAATAGGCACCCCCTTAGTTTGTTGGTGCCCTTCTTGGCCTGTTGGAATAACCTTGTCGAACCTGCTTGGGCTGATGGCCAAGACTCAATGGGCTCCAGATGCTTGAAGCTCTGTGAATTTGCATTCTGTAATCTACCCCCTTCAAGGTTTGAAATGCTGTCATAAATGTATAGGTCTCTCATCCAGAAGGTTCTCCCTCATGTCTTTGCTTAGGACAGTATTCTTGAACCTGGTATACTCCAAATGGTTTGGATTTCAGCTCGTTTAATCCCCCAACCATACAGCCAGAAGCAATATTCGCATACAGATCCATGTAATCCAGCAACAGCCAGTCTTTGATGACAATATTTCTGTCTAATGGTCAGGAAGGATCCACACCAGTTTATAAAAACAGCATTATTCCCAGTCTATCTAAATTGTGTCACTTAGCATGGAAATACCTTACTACGGAGAGAACTAAATTTCAGCAACTAAATTGTCTGCACATTTTATACTATGGGCAAGCCTTTTCTCTTGAACTTGTAGGTATTCCGTGATGTACCCTGTTTGTGGACGAGGAACTGTCCTTGTAGAGTATCAGTAGTGAAGAAGGGAGCTCAGCTAACTCTTGCTGACGGTTTGTATGTACACACATATTTTGTTTCTCTTTGTACATAGCACCCTCTTCCCACAAGCGGGGCTGCATCCTTCCCAAAGATACCGCAGGTAGGAGCTCGCGTTCCTTGACTGAGCGCAGTGGAGTGAACTGGGGGGGTGGGGCGGAGGGTGCGCGCGGGCCAACACAGACGCAGGTGTCAGGAAGGGGCGAGGAGAGCGAGTCCTGTCTAGAGAGGCATTTCAGTGCCGAGACTGCGCTCCCACGGCAGTACGCTTTTCACGAGAAGCAACGGTTGCGATTTGCAGCTGGCGCTTGCAAAGCAACGGAAGGACATGCAGTTGTGACCTGAGTACTAGAAAGAAATACTTCCTTCTAGCACCTCTGTGAGTTCTGTTGCATCATTCAGCCTGAAGGCTGGCGCTGTGCTCCTTTTGTTCTGGGGCCCACAGGACTCGCGTGTGCCAAGGGATCTGTTGTCTTCATCCGCTGGGGGAGGATGGTGCTCCTCAACCCTTCTTCCCCATCCTGATGAAGGGACCTCTTGCTGACAAAGTGGGGTGATTCGAACGGCCGTTTTCCATGTGCTTATATCTGCGTTCATTTGCCAGTGGCACCAAAGGTTACTCCCCATGGTCTTTTCCCCACTCCAGCTTAAAAAATCCATGAATAACTAGATCTATTTCTTCATCAGTTCCACTTCTGGAAGAGCATTTTGAAATGGCTGCTGTTGGCCCTGGAATGCTTTCACAGGGTCAGGCAGCAGGTGCATTGTTGATTGAGGCTCTCTCGCTGATCTTAAGCAAAGGCTGCCCCTCTCGTATACGGCATTTCGGGCTGACAGCCGTGGATGCAGTGTCTTCCTGCGCCAGTCCTGCCCTGCACTTACAAGGACCAGAAAATTGTTTGGCTTGAAAAGTACTCAAGGAGGTTGGATGCGTCATTGCACTTGACTCTGTCTTTAAACTGTTCCTTATATTTTTAGTCAGCCCAATAATAAAAGTTCTGTAGATGGATTACAAACATGGTCATTCTTCTCTGTAAAGGATCTGTGTGCTTTGCAAATTCGATTCTTACTGTTCATTTCTGTGCAGCGTTTGTTTTATGTCACTGTGTGTGGAGCGGGGTGGGAGGTCGGAGCAAAGTATGTGGTAGAAAATGCCCTGCCAGCTTCCTGGTGGAAAGTGAGATGCTTCCCCGCGGTGTTGCCCCTTCCCTGTCATCATGTGCCGGCTGCAGGATCATCGCTTTTCTCTGCGCGTTCTGCTGGTTGACCCTGAGCGGTCCTGCAGGGCGGTGCTCAGAGCATGCTGGCAGCCGGCGCCTCCCACATGCCTGGGCCCGGCTCAGCGTGGCTGCAGGTGGAAGCTGTGGTCCAAACCATAAGCTGGAGGGCACCAACTCACCTGCCTCTAAGACAGAGGCCCTCTAGGACCAGGGAAGGTCCCTCCTCAGCCAGTCACCTTGGGCCAGTTGTTCTCTCTTGGCCTGGCCTACCTTGCAAGTTAATTGTGCAAATAAAAATGCAGGGAGAAAGCCTTGTACCCTGAGCTCCCTGGAAGAAGGGGGGATTATGTACAAAAAACATCATTTGAAATGGTTTCCAGAAAGTAATGGGAGTTGAAGCCAGCATACCTGGAGGGAGGGTACCAGGTGAGGGAGACTTTCACAGAGTTCCTGCCAGCTCCACTTGGCCTGTGCTGGTGGACATGGCTCTAACTGCACCGGGGACTTGGGGTGCCCTGAGGCTGTTGGACTCCTTGTGAGTAACGCTCTCTTTGTTCCCTTTCCACTGGCAGCTTTATCCACAAATAGATCTGCCCAAGAAGTCCATAGGCAAGATCTCTTCCCCTTCCCCGCATGTCCCCTGTTCAGCTGCTGTGTGTTTTCAGCCACTTGCAGGAGGGACAGCAAAGCCCGAGTCTCGGCCTTGAACGCAGCTTCCGGGATGCTTCCTCTGGTTGCCTCACTTTGGGAGCGTCAGGTCCCTTTCAGGTGTGCAGGTGCTTATCTTGGCTAGTGCCCAAGCTTGCCCCTGTTCTGCTCTCCTAGGATGTCTTTGGTGATGACTCCGAAATTTCCAAGGAGTCTTCGGGAGTCAAGAAGCGGCGCATCCCTCGCTTTGAAGAAGTGGAGGAGGAGCCCGAGGTGATCCCTGGCCCCCCAACCGAAAGCCCGGGGATGCTGACCAAGCTGCAGGTGGGTCTCGAAGTGGGATCCCCCACTCACGCGGATGAGGGCAAAGCCTCAAGTTCCACCCGGCTGCCGAGCCCCAGCCCTCACTCGGTCCGCCCGACCTACTCACAGGGTATTCGCTGTGAAAGGCGAACTGGAGGGTTGGTGGGGAGAAGGAGAGGGTCGTGACTGCTGCCCTGAGCTCTTGGGAAGGAGAGCAGATTGTAGCAAAGGCTGTTCCAGCTCTCCTGTTTCAACATTTTCAGATATTTGAAAGGACTTACTCCGTTCCCTGTGAATCTGGCCATTGGTGTGTAGATGAAGCCCTGTACAGGAAGGCTCTGCCTGAAGAGAGCAGGGGACTAGAGAAGTGGTCAGCAGGATAGACACCACCTGAATGCCTTTGATCCTGGAGGGGCACAGAACCCTCTGGATGCAGAGTCAGGAGTGGCATTATTCTCCATTCATTTGTCCTGTCCTCTTTTAGAGCCATCTAAGCTGTTGGCCATCACTGTCTCTTCTGCTAGTGGGCACTATTTTAACTAGGGCCAGTCTGAGGACGTCCTTCCTTTTAGCTGTCCTGAATCTCCCACCGAGCAACTTCCTGGGAAGACTCTGTGACCTAATAGTACGAAACAGGGAAGAACATGTCTGCGTTTCTGCCTTCTCCACGCTAGGTGTGGCTGGTAAAGTGATCTGGGCCAAAAGGCCCGGCAAGCGCCCTCTTACCTTTCTAGAATAATAGCCATACATCTGCAGCAGAGTAGTGGAGCCTGGCTGTCATCTAGTCCAACCTTGCAGGACAAAGCAGACCTATTTTGTACTCAGAAAGAAAGAAAAAACTCAGGTTGTTTTTAATTTTTCTTTTCTTCAGATCAAGCAGATGATGGAAGCAGCAACACGGCAGATCGAGGAGAGGAAGAAGCAGCTGAGCTTCATCAGTCCCCCTGCACCTCAGGTACAGCCTCCGGCACATGCAGGACCCCTTGAGGTAGAGGCTTCCCCACAGAGTTTGCCCCATTTCTTTTTTGCTTCAGGTGGCAACAGCAGCAGCTCCAGCTGCTCTGCAGAGCAGAGCTGCTGTCACGGTTTAATCCCCCCACGGGACACTAGTGGTCTGGCTCAAGCACAGCACCAAAGAGTTAGCCAGTGCTAGAGCGGCTTTCCCGTGGTGGTCTGGAGTGCTGTGAGAGTCAGGCAGGAGCTCTTCTGGTGAGATGTTCTTCCCCATGGGAAGAATTCTGCTTCCCATTTCATGTCCCTTAATTTAGCAAAATCGCTATACAAAGCCAAATGGTAATATTACTTGTCAGGATCTCTTTGTTATACTGTTCTTCACCATTTTTGTTCCAGGGTGGTTTACAAGGCTCAAACACTAGAACACAACAAGCCAAGAGGAGGGCTCCGGGACCCTTCGGCTTGGTCTCCCTGTGCTTTCCCTTCCCCTGTCCATGCACCCCGCCCAGCCCCTGTTCTCTAATTGTTTTGGGTTGCATCTTGCCCTTGAGGTCAGCTAGATTTCCCGGCAGGCACCAGAACCTCCTCACAACTCCCAGCGATGCCCCACGCATGTTCCTTCTTTTAAACCCTCAGCCTAAAGCTCCAGCGACGACCCAGGCTGAGCGCCTCCCCATCGGCAACACCATCCAGCCCTCGCAGGCTGCCACCTTCATGAACGATGCTATTGAGAAGGCTCGGAAGGCGGCCGAGCTGCAGGCTCGAATCCAGGCTCAGCTGGCTCTGAAACCTGGGCTCATTGGCAACGCCAACATGGTTGGGCTGGCCAACCTGCACGCCATGGGCATTGCACCGCCGTGAGTATTGGAACACGCTGTGTGGGTGGCAGGTGCCTTTCCGTGCCTGCCGTGTCGGGGGCACGATTAAAATTCCCCTGGCTTGCTCTCGTGGGCAGAGATGGCCAGTTGTGAAGCTGTTCTGCCCCTTCTTCACTTGGTGAGTGAGTGGCTGTTCATTGTTTTTGGCAAGGGCGGCTTGTGGGGAAAGGGCCGCCGAGGTCTCTCATGACGAGAGCCACAGGGCCAGCCGCCTGCCGGAGCAGGTGCAGAACCTCTGCCAGCCTGAGAGCCAGTGCTGTTGGGGGCTGTACTCCAGGGGCGAGGTGGGGAGAAACACCCCTCATATTTTACCTTGAGGCTCTTGCTTCCATTAGCTGTGCCTTCAGAAAGGCACTTTAGTCTCTTGCAATGGGAGAACATCTGCACAGGAGGCAGGAAACTACCGGATTAGTGCAGGGTGGGAAGGATTGGAGAGCAGCCATCTAGGGCCGGGCTGTGAGACCTGAGGGCCAGAGGTTCTGCAGCTTTGCGCTGAGGAGGCCGGGCCTGGGGCTGCATGGAACCCCTCGGGCTGTTTTCTCCCATCCTTTCCCTAGGACCGCAGTGCAGCAGACTGTCTCGAGCTACTTACTGTACTCTTTTTCCTTTAGTGATGACTTACCCCCTTGGCACCAGGCAAACCCTGTTTGGGGGAAAGGCAGGTGAATGGAAACCCGGAATCTCTTGTCCCTTAGACTTGCTGAAATTGAGCAGGCTCAAACTGTGCCAGCATCCCGGGGGCCCCAGGTGTGCTACCAGAACTACGTTGTAACCAAAGTTGTGTTGGGGATGTCTTGGCCCAGGAAAGTGGAGCTGAAGGACCAGACCAAGCCAACGCCGCTGATTCTGGATGAGCAGGGCCGCACAGTGGACGCCACCGGCAAGGAGATTGAGCTGACGCACCGCATGCCCACCCTCAAGGCCAACATCCGGGCCGTCAAGAGGGAGCAGTTCAAGCAGCAGCTCAAAGAGAAGCCGTCTGAGGACATGGAGTCCAACACCTACTTCGATCCCCGCGTCTCCATCACCCCAGCTCAGCGGCAGAAGAGGACCTTCAAGTTCCACGACAAGGGCAAATTTGAAAAGATCGCGCAGAGGCTGCGGACGAAGGTACGGTGCTCTCGAGGCCCTGCCTCGCCCTCCTGGAGAATGGGGCAGGAGGAGAGGGTCACTCTCAGCTGCCGTCATCCAAAGGAGGGCGGGTAGGAGGAGCCCTCGCGAGCTTCCTGTGCTGGGAGGATTCTTTCTTTTAGATCTAAGAGAAGTGGCGATCTCCCAGCGCCTGGTTTCTTCCAGGCAATCCCTGCTTGCCACTTGTGACCAGATGAGGGTGCCTTTATAGCCCCAACCTGGAAAGCGGAAGAATCAGGCCCACGTCCCTCCTGGGAGCCTCAGCATCTCCCACTTGGCCTGCTGGAATTCCTGTCCGGGGAAATGTCTGTCTCTCGGGAAGCTTGCTTTTAAAAGGTGTCTCCTCCTTCACGCATGCCTGAGACGGCTTCTGTTGCTTCTCAGGCCCAGTTAGAAAAACTCCAGGCAGAAATCTCACAAGCTGCCAGGAAGACTGGAATTCACACCTCTACCAAACTGGCTCTTATTACCCCCAAGAAGGAGCTGAAGGAAGGTGACATCCCTGAGGTGGAGTGGTGGGACTCATATATCATTCCCAACGGCATTGATTTGTAAGTCACTGTCCCTTTTCTTTTGGTGGTCCTTGCCTAGAAACTTCGTTGTGATCTCCCAGATAAGAACTTTTGGCCTGCCTGGTTATCTGCAGGCAGCCCTTGTCCAGTTCTGGTCCCGGTTTTGTTTATTTCCTGCATGTACAGGCCATGCTTCTTCAAATTACGCTAGGCATACTTGCCTTCCCATTACTAAAATAAGGCACCAAAGGCAACAGAAAACAACAGCAAGATTAGTTTTCAGTTTTTAGTTCTTTAGTTTTGTATGTGTTGTTCAATGGATGCTGGGCTTTCAGATATTTTCCTGCATCTGGTTTTACTCTTTTTTTCACTTATAACACCTTTGATCATTTTGTATTTTAGGGTTTTAATTTTTGTGCACTGTCCAGAGAGTTTTGGCTACTGGGTGGTACAGAAATATAATAAATAGAATTCAAGTTTGTGTGGTAGGCTGCAGAAGTAGAGGTCATACAGAGGAGCTTTCTAGGCGATATGAATCTGACGTTTTGTTTTTCACCAGCTTTTATGTTGGGAAGTTCTTTCAGGAGGGTGGGAGGCTCTGCTTAGCCCTTGAAGGTGATCTTACAAATAGCTGCATGTTAAAATAATGAAATAGGGTCAGCAGCTTGCATTGGGCCTGAACAGCATAAGGATCAGCCAGGGCAGATGGTAACCTCTGCAGAGGTGACATTGATCCGTGCATAATTTTTTTTTTTTAAAGAAAAGCTGCTGAAATGCTTAAAAGAGAGGACTATTTCGGCATCACGAATCTGGTGGAGCATCCGGCCCAGCTGAACCCACCAGGTAAAATTCAGACTTTGGTGCTATAGAAACAGAGCAGATCAGAAGGGGCCTCCCGGGCCATCTAGTCTGACCTCCGGCTCCACTCATGACCTGCCCACCATGTGCATGTCCAGACTGTCCTAGCAGAGAAGGGTCCTGGCCAAGGAAACAGGTGGGGAATAGTGTCCCTGAAGGGAAACTGCAAGGGTGGAGGTGGACAGCTGGAATATGGGGTGATCTAAGGGGGACCAAGACAGGCGGCATGTGGCCAAGCCTGACTCCAGCAGTCTTCATCCTCCAGGTGTCGGACTGCCGCGGTGTTGGGGGATCCCAGACAGGCCACACAGCATGTCCAGCAGGCCCCAGGTTGCTCTTTGCTCTCATTTGCCAGGATCCTGACCGCTGCCTTGGGATAAAAGCCCCTGGCCCAGTGTGTGGTTTCCTTTAAGGAAGCCAGATGCGGCAAGCAATACTCAGCTGGTGCCAGGAGGGAGCGGATGTGCTTCAAGGAGGCTTCTCCTCACAGCGGCTAAAAAGTCTTAAGCAAAATACCTGTTTTGCACTTAACCCAGCCTACCCTTCCCAAATGGGAGGTAGGCCACCTCACATAAATGAAGCACAAGATATGAGAAACGATAAAAGGGGAAGTAACCTCCCGATTAGACTTCTGTAACGCACTCTATGTGGGGCTGCCCTTGAAGACGGTCCGGATACTTCAATTGGTGCAAAACAGAGCTGCCAGGTTGCTGATGGGAACTGGGCGTTGTTCTCATATAACCCCAGCCCTCCGTCAGCTTCACTGGCTTCCCATTGAAGTCTGGGCCCAATTCAAGGTGTTGGTTATCACCTATGAAGCCCTCAACGGCTTGGGTCCTGGTCATCTAAAGGAGCGCTTGCGTCCATATATGCCCTCCCGCCCCTTGAGATCAGCGGCAGAGACAACCTCCTCTGGGAGCCCTCCGTGAAAGATATTAGGAGGCACAGTACCTGGAGGAGGGCCTTCTCTGCAGTGGCACCCCACCTATGGAATGTGCTCCCCAGAGAGGTTTGCCTGGCGCCATCGTTATTTGTTTTTCGGCGCCAGGCCAAGACCTTTTTATTTAAAGGTTATTTTAATTGTTGATTGTATTTATTTATTGGTTTTTATGTTTGTGCCGAGATGTCTTCGGGTTTTTAAGGTTATCTGTATGATTGTTTATTTGTTTTGTAAGCCACCCCGAGGCTTTTTGCAAATGGGGTGGCATAGAAATGTTCTAAATAAATAAGTGAGTGAGTGAGAAGGGGCAGTGTGAGGGGAATAAGCCCCATCTGGCCACGGCGCTGCTGAGTTCATGTTTTGTTCCCCTCCTCCCAATCCCCAGTGGACAGTGACACGCCGGTGACTCTGGGAGTCTATCTAACCAAAAAGGAACAGAAGAAACTGCGGCGCCAGACCCGCCGGGAAGCCCAGAAGGAGCTGCAGGAGAAAGTGAGGCTGGGCCTCATGCCGCCTCCTGAACCAAAAGGTGGGCTCTTGGGAGCAGGCTGGTGGTTTAAAAACACGCACCCTGGGTTTGAACGACGGTTTAACGACTGCTGGTTTTTTAATTTCCTACAGTTCGAATTTCAAACCTGATGCGAGTTCTGGGAACAGAAGCTGTTCAGGACCCAACCAAAGTAGAGGCGCATGTTCGAGCACAGATGGCTAAAAGGCAGAAGTAAGGCTCACGTTTGTTTGTTTGCCATTTCGTAGCACCTTCCTATTATTATTATTATTATTATTATTATTATTATTATTATTATTATTATTATAACATTTCTA